ATGACACAATAAAATTGTATCTAATCATTAATATTGTAAAAAAATGGTTTTTTAATAGAAAAACTGTCCTTTTTATAAAAGGGCCCATATTGTCGGTTTTTCGTTATTTTCAAAATTAAGAGGGGGGGGGATGGTTTTAAAAATTTAAAACCTGTTGGTTTTTTGTCTTCAAGGTGCCCTGGATTGTAAACAATTGTTATCTGAATAACTTCCCAGAAGAACCAGAGATACAACAATTAGTTTGTATCGCAATCTTTAATTCCGTTTTTCTCGAAATGAGGCCTTTGGCGTTCTAAACTTTGAAATTCCGTAACTCAGCGAATTTTTAACTAAAAAAGTTCTAAGACCACTCAAAATTTTCCAAATTTTGCCAGGAATACACCCATATAGATAACTCCAATAGTGCCAAAATAGGCCCTTTTCATGTGGACGTCCACATATATATTATATCTTAAAATTTCTAATTGAATTTCTACTGAAGAGAAAAAATGGAAAACAGGAAAAATTTAGAAACTTTTAAAAATTCCAGCCCTTTTCCATGATTTCCCTGATTTTCAGAAGCCTTTTAAAAATTCCATACCATTTCCATAATTTCCAGATTCTGTAGGAACCCTGTTATAACCAATAAGACAGTATAATGTTACAAAAAATAATAAAGTAAAATTACTCTAAATTGGACCTACCCTAATTTAATCGACTTGAAAACTAAAAAAAAAAAATTGTGTAAGGTATTTTTTTACTGATGGAGTTGAGAATAGCCCCACTTAATTTTGAAAATTAAATTTCAAAGTTGAATATCCTTTTTTGTTTAAAACTGACATAAAATTTTGAAAAACTATAAGAGTGACAATAACAATGTGGTAGTTGAAACTTTATAAAAATATATTAAACTTTAAAGTTTGTAACAAAATGGAATTTAATCAAGTCAGCAAGTATATAATTGTGTTCAGCGATCGTTCTCCTATAATTTTATGTTATTTAGAACGTTATAGAATGGCTTTTGTAGTCTTGATACAATAAATAGTGAAAAGCTGCATTTTGGACATTTCAGAAATAGCGGTCCTAAGTGGGCCACCACTTTTTTTCGCTTGAATATAAGAAAGAAACGCATATTCTTCTCAGTTACGCGCAGAATATTGATACATAATAAATCAATAATTAATCCTTTAAAAATAAACAACGTTTCCAACTACTGTAGAAATATCGGTCACCCTTAAATATGTTAAAAAACCACCCCTAAAAAAAAAAAAAAAAAACTCGAAATGTCATGGACTAAGATTCTATAATGTTTTTGTTAAAAAGTTATACCTACCAATACCAAATAAGCAACTATTGTTACATCCACCATTAACTTAACAACCTTTAATCATGATCAGAAACCATCCCTATATCATCCCTAAAAAAATTACCTCCAAAGTTACAAATTAAAAACCAAATTATTTTGCTATTTATGACACTTTAAATAAATATTTGATATGGTGCTAATCAATTTATTTCAAACAATAAAGAAAAAACATAAAATATTCAAACCTTGAAGGTAAAGTCTTTGGTTGTCCAATCAATAAAGATCAGGGCTAAGGAATCCAACCACTGAAGGTAAGATACATTGTTTTCCAATCAATGAAGATCAGGGTTATCAGGTCCAACCACAGAAGGTAAGAAACATTGTTGACCAATCAATGAAGATCAGGGATATCAGGTCCAACCACTGAAGGTAAGATACATTGTTGTTTAATAAATGAAGATCAGGGTTATCAGGTCCAACCACTGAAGGTAAGAAACATTGTTGACCAATCAATGAAGAACAGGGTTATGGGATCCAACCACTGAAGATAAGAAACATTGTTGACCAGTCAATGAAGATCAGGGTTATGGGATCCAACCACTAAAGGTAAGAAACATTGTTGACCAATCATTGAAGATCAGGGTTATCAGGTCCAACAACTGAAGGTAACATACATTATTGTCCAATCAATGAAGATCAGGGTTATCAGGTTTAACCACTGAAGGTAAGAAACATTGTTGTCTAATGAGTGGTTGGACCTGATAACCCTGATCTTCATTGATTGGTCAACAATGTTTCTTACCTTCAGTGGTTGGATCTGTTAACCTTGATCTCCATTGATTGGACAACAATGTTTCTTACCTTTAGTGGTTAGACCTAATAACCCTGATCTTCAATGATTGGTCAACAATGTTTCTTACCTTTAGTGGTTGGATCCCATAACCCTGATCTTCATTGACTGGTCAACAATGTTTCTTACCTTCAGTGGTTGGATCCCATAACCCTGATCTTCATTGATTGGTCAACAATGTATCTTACCTTTAGTGGTTGGACCTGAATCCCTGATCTTCATTGATTGGTCAACAATGTTTCTTACCTTCAGTGGTTGGATCTGTTAACCTTGATCTTCATTGATTGGACAACAATGTTTCTTACCTTTAGTGGTTAGACCTAATTACCCTGATCTTCATTGACTGGTCAACAATGTTTCTTACCTTCAGTGGTTGGATCCCATAACCCTGATCTTCATTGATTGGTCAACAATGTATCTTACCTTCAGTGGTTGGACCTGATATCCCTGATATTCATTGATTGGTCAACAATGTTTCTTACCTTCTGTGGTTGGACCTGATAACCCTGATCTTCATTGATTGGACAACAATGTATCTTACCTTCAGTGGTTTGATCCCTTAGCCCTGATCTTTATTGATTGGACAAGCAAAGACTTTACCTTCAAGGTTTGAATATTTTATGTGTTTTCTTTATTGATTAATATAAATTGATTATCACCATATTAAATATTTATTTAAAGTGTCATTTGGTGATTAAAGGTGCAAAAATAAATAAGTAGCTGAAACTCGATTAAACTAAAAAATTGCTTTTATTTTAAAAATTTGTTTCGAGAATTATGCTTGTGCTCTGGACGGAAGCGCAAAAGATACTGACTAATCTATGCAATTGAAAAAAGGGACTTGTAGAGGTAAAAATGTGACTCATCCTGTACTACCTACGTACAGAGCCCAAAAAGTTTGCAAGTCTGAACGTGCAACGAGTTGAATAACAAGGTAATAAAAAAAGGGTCTCAGGTATTTACCTGAAAGCGAAAAAGTGTACAAAACTGTTAAAAGTAAGAAAGTTAGAAAAGTTTAGAATATTCCGTCCAGAATACAAAGATCACAAAAAATATTAATTTATTATAAACAACAAACATAAAACCTAATGTGTATACATTAATTTGTATGTGTGTGTGTTGTGTATTTGTTTGTGAACTATGTTATATATGTATATATATATATATATATACATATATATATATATATATCAATTTAAATTTCACAAAAAATATTAAATTTCATGAATAAATAAACAAATAGTTTTTAATTTTTATGTATGTGTAAGTGTGAGTATGTGAAAACAGTAGCCACAGTACCTTTCAGTTGACGATGGAATCTTTCCACCATTCCATTGGCTGCAGGATGGTAGGCAGTAGTTCGATAGTGAGTCCCACCTGTCAGTTGATTCAGCTCACGGAACAGATGTGACTCGAATTGTCGTCCTTGATCAGATGTGATTCTTAGTGGCGTTCCAAATCTTGCCACCCAAGGAGTGTAAAAAGCTCGTGCCACGGTTGCTGCTTCTTGATCTTCCATCGGAATTGCTTCAGGCCAACGAGAAAATCTGTCAACACAGGTCAAACAATACCTGTATCCTTCAGACATTGGCATGATCACAATGTCAATATGGACATGTTCCAATCTCGAAGATAAGAGTTGAAAGGTTCCTGGTGTGGTGATGACATGTCTCGTAACTTTTGAGCGTTGACACTGTAGAGAGTTACGAGCCCATTCTCGGCAATCCTTTTTAACCGACGGCCAAGTGTAACGCTGTGTTACCATCTTCACTGTCGTGTTAATTCCAGGATGTGAGAGTCCATGAACACTGTCAAATACTCTTTAACGCAGAGCTTCCGGAACGAATGGGCGTGCAGCTGGCGTGGATACGTCACATACTATTGACACGTCAGATTCCGGAATTTTAATCAATTTTAATTCCAATCCAGTCGAAGAATCTGTTGCCATCTTCTTCAGTTGTTGATCATCCTTCTTGGCGGTCTCAAGCATCTTCAGGTCCAAAGCTGGCTCAATTTATGCAATCCGGGAGAGAGCATCAGCAACAACATTTTCCTCATCACTGATATGTTGAATATCAGTGGAAAACTGTCCGATAAAATCAAGATATCTGAACTGTCGAAGAGTACATTGTTTGTTCTTTTTCTTAAATGCGAATGTGATTTGCTTGTGGTCCGTAAAGATGATAAAATTCCGTCCTTCTACCATATGTCGAAAGTACTTCACAGCTCCATATATGGCCAATAATTCTCGATTGTACACAGAGTATTTTCGTTCAGCAGTGCTAAGTTTCCTTGAAAGAAATGCAAGAGGAGACTATTCGTCGTCAACTCTTTGTTGAAGTGCAGCACCAATAGCAAAGTCCGAAGCGTCACAAAATATTGCCAGAGGAACGTCATATATTGAATGAGCAAGAAGTGCAGTTTGAGCAAGGCTAGATTTACTTTTAATGAATGCATTTTCAGCGCCTCGAGTCCATTTTACCGGCACTTTTCCTTTAACATTGCCTTGCAACAACTCGTTTAAAGGTGCTTTAATTTTCGCCGCCTCAGGTATGAATCTCCTGTAGAAATTCAACATACCTAAGTATTTACGAACTTGTTTCACTGTTTCTGGTTTTGGATAAGTTTGAATTGCTTATACCTTATCAGGTAAAGGTTGAGAACCACTGCCACTGACAAGATATCCCAAAAATTTCACTGCACTTTGTCCGAAAACACATTTCGAGGTATTAATAACCACTCCGCATTTTCCGTAAACGCGTATAAAGAATTTATAAATGTTCTATATGCTCTTGTTCCTATGATGATGTCATCAATGTAGACAAAACAAAAATCTAAACCACGAAGCACTTCATCGATAAAACGCTAAAATGTTTGTGCCGCATTCCGCAAACCGAAAGTCATATAAGGAAACTCAAATATACCGAACGGAGTTGTAATGGCTGTTTTACAAATGTCCTCTTCGGCAACCGGAATTTGGTGAAACGCTTTCATAAGATCTATCACTGAAAATATAGATTTTCCGGCAAGATTATGCGTAAAATCTTGTATATGACGCACAGGGTAACAATCAGGTTCCGTCACCGCGTTAAGACCTCGATAATCGCCACACGGTCTCCACTCTTCATCAGGCTTGGGAACCATGTGTAGTGGTGATGCCCATCGAGCTTTCGATGGTCTTGCAATACCGAGCTTTAAATAATTTTCGAATTCCTTTTTCGCGGCTCTTTGTCGGTCCGGGGCTAAACGTCGCGGTTTTTGCACTACCGGAGGTCCATCTCGCGTTTTTATGTAATGAACTGTACCGTGTGTTGCTGTAACCCTTCCGTCAGGTCTTGTAATTTCCGGGAATTTTTCCAAAAGCTCATGGTACACACTACACCCAGAAACACTGTTAACACTAAATATTTTACCATTGACCGCTTTTCCTTCTGCTGCGAGCTTTGTCACTGAATCAATTAATTTTCGACTTTTAACATCTACCAACAACTCGTAGTGTGCCAAAAAATCGACGCTGATAATCGGTTTGGTCACGTCCGCGACAACGAATCTCCACGGATAGTCACGTCTCAGTCCCAAATTTTGATTAATGTTAGTGGTACCGTAGGTTGCAATAGTTGTCCCGTTTGCCGCGGAAAGTTCGTAAGAAGACTTTTCTCGCGACTGACGGAGTAACGCGCGAGGAAACACGCATAAATCCGCACCAGTGTCCACTAAAAATTGCATGTTTGTCGCTGAATCACGGATAAAAATACGGCGCGACGTGGTTGGGCAAAGGTCGTCTGTCGCCATTAACGACTGGCCGTTTCGTTTCCCGGTTTGTACGAACATGGCGTCGTACATTTTGTCGCTTTATCACCGAAACGGTTGTGATATTAACAAACACCATTTGACTCACTTCTTCCGCGAGATTGTGACTGACCGCGAGAATGAGATCTACCGCGATTACCGGACCGATTATTGTCTCTTTTATTCTGAATTTCAGCGATTTGTGCTTGCATTATGCCCATTTTTTCAGTCATTGTAGTCACAACTTGTTCAAATTTTTGTAATAACAGGTCGAGAGACGCACTATTTATTGCAGCTTCTGAAACCGAAGGGCGATTTCGCGAACTCACGTCGATAATTGAATCGGCTAATTCTGCGAGCTTGTCTAATGCAAGCTCTTGTTGCGCGGCTAAAATTGCTTGCACATTGTGTGGAAGGCGATGGATCCACAATGTTCTGAGCATTGTGTCTCGTACAGTTGCACCAGCGAGTGCTTGCAAATGTCGTGGAAATTGTGTAGGCTTTCTATAGCCTATTTCTTCTGATTCTAGTAATCTACGCGTTTTCTCCTCCTGCGATGCACTTAACCGTTTAATAATTTGTTTCTTTAATTTAGTGTACGGATTTGTCTTAGGAATCGCAACAATCATATCGCGCACTTCCACTGCGACATTCGGATCTAAGGCGTTCGCGACGCATGTATATTTTTCACTTTCACTTGTCACTTGAGATACGGCAAAACGCTGTTCCACCATGGAAAACCATAATTCTGGATCAGAATAAATAAAACTCGGGAGCTTCACATTTAAATTTGAACGAAATAATGCACTTTGTAATGCGGCATTGAACGTTTCACTATTATCACTTCCGTTCGCTATTTTGATTTTTTTAGTCAAGAAATCTGAATATTATATTGAAATAAAATGCGCTTTTAATGACACCATAAAAGAAAAATCACGTCGGGGTCACCACTTTGGTGATTAAAGGTGCAAAAATAAATAAGTAGCTGAAACTCGATTAAACTAAAAAATTGCTTTTATTTTGAGAATTTGTTTCGAGAATTATGCTTGTGCTCTGGACGGAAGCGCAAAAGGTACTGACTAATCTATGCAATTGAAAAAAGGGACTTGTAGAGGTAAAAATGTGACTCACAATGTACTACCTACGTACAGAGCCCAAAAAGTTTGCAAGTCTGAACGTGCAACGAGTTGAATAACAAGGTAATAAAAAAAGGGTCTCAGGTATTTACCTGAAAGCGAAAAAGTGTACAAAACTGTTAAAAGTAAGAAAGTTAGAAAAGTTTAGAATATTCCGTCCAGAATACAAAAATCACAAAAAATATTAATTTATTATAAACAACAAACATAAAACCTAATGTGTATACATTAATTTGTATGTGTGTGTGTTGTGTATTTGTTTGTGAACTATGTTATATATGTATATGCATATATGTATATATATATATATATATATATCCATTTATAGAATCAATTTAAATTTAACAAAAAATATTAAATTTCATAAATAAATAAACAAATTGTTTTTAATTTTTATGTATGTGTAAGTGTGGGTATGTGAAAACAGTAGCCACAGTCATAAATAGCAAAATAACTTGGTTTTTAATTTGTAACTTCGGAGGTAATTTTTTTAGGGATGATATAGGGATGGTTTGTGATCATGATTAAAGGTTGTTGAGTTAATGGTGGATGTAACAATAGTTGCTTATTTGTTATTGGTAGGTATAACTCTTTAACAAAAACATTAGAATCTTAGTCCATGACATTTCGAATTTTTTTCCGTTTTTGGTTGTTTAGGGTGGTTTTTTAACATATTCAGGGGTGGCCGATATTTCTACAGCAGTGGTTAGCGTTGTTTATTTTTAAAGGATTAATTATTGCTTTGTTATCTATCAATATATTTACGTTTTATACCTTTTTGGGGTTTTGTCATAAGGGTTCATGTATGAAAGGGTAGTTTTTTATACTGCAAGGGTCGTAATCGTGATTTAAATTATGCGGTTGCTATTACTTATTTTATTAAATTATAGTGTAAACATTTCTTATTTACAAAATTTTTTTCACATTTTACTGTTTTTTATTGAAAACGGTATCTCTGAGTTAAGGGTGGTTTTTCAACCCTTTCCCCAAGGTATAGAACTTTCTAAGGGTAATTTTTGGATTCAGCAGGTCAAAATCTATAAAAACATATACTTCTTTTACAATCCCCTTTGGGGGCAAATTTTGACCATTTCTCAGCATCGTTCTTTATTTATTTTTAGTAGTGGATGGCTGCGTGGTGGAGACTGGCGTTTTTGTAGTATGTCTTTTCTATTGTTTTTTGTTTTTGTTTAATTCATAGGTTACACTTTCTCGGTCTTTCTTGTGATAAAAAACACAAAAAAGATAAACAAAACATAAATGAAAACAAACAAAAATAATAATAGGTGTCCAACTTAGGACCACTGTACATTTTTAAAAGTTTCAAATTCTTACGTTAATAAAAAAAATTAATTAAAAAATCAACAGAACCTCTTATTACAACATTAAATAAAAGAACTAGCGCACACACTCATTTAGAAAATTTTAATTATTTATCTCTTGTAGCTGCTCTCGAAAAAACAAGAAAAATTAAATTTTTTTTGTCGTAAACAATATTATTGTCCTCACAATGCGTAGAAGAATCTTAGATAATAATTAGGTCCATAAATTATATCATGGTTTATCAATATATCACACCACGAAATTATAGATTCGTCCAGTATACCATCTCTGAGAAACGCAGAGTGGCCAACTTAGGCCAGCAAAAAGTAGTAACAAATTAGCTATTGAAAAATTAAACTTGAAGACCAAAAAAACTCTTCATAAAACTGACTAAAATTCCATTCTACATATTTTCCAGACTTTTTCGTAATTTTCTTTAAAAATATTTAATTCTTTCTTATCCTGCTAATAAATTCAATTCCTGCAACGAATTTTATTATTCATGAAAGAATTTAAATATTTATAAAAATAATTTAATTCTTGCGAAGGATTATATAAAAATTTTTTTAAATAATTGAATTCTGTTTGAAAATTTAATGAAAATAGATATGTACCTATTGAAAATCATTAAATTGCGAAAAGTTTTGAAAAATAATTAAATTTTACAAAGAATTCTATTAAAATTTAATAAAAAATAATAACAATAATAATAATTAATTAATTGTAATAATAATTACAATAATAATTGAATGTCTGTGTGGTATTTTATTAAATTTTTTCGTAAATAATTGAATTCTTAAAAAGCATTTCATTATTTATGAAAATAATTGATTCCTAAAAAGCATTTTATTATTTATGAAAATAATTGAATTCTTGCGAACGATTTTATTAGAATTTTTAAAAATAATTGCATTTCCAGAAATAAATTAATAAATTTACTTTTAAAAATAATTGAATTTCCAAAAAGAAGTTTATTACAGTGGAACCTCGATTATCCGAACTAACCTAGGCAAGGCCGGGTACGGATAATCGAAAGTTCGGATTTTAATTTTTTTTATATAATTATAAAGTAAAAAAATGGACAGTTGAATTAGGGTCAATTGGGTTGAATGTAAACGGAATATCTATTTTCACGAAAAACATTAGTTTTGTTAAAAGGTAAAACGGACAAATTTCTTTTGCATGAACTTGTTACTAGAGTACGCTAGAAAAATTTTATGAGGTACAAAAAAATATTGATGCATACCTGAATCGACTGTTTACATTTACCCCGAGATTTTGAAATTTTCCTAAAATTCGGGGTTAATGTAAACACCACTGTAGTTAAGCGAGGTTTAAGAAACAAGTTATTTCAAGTATACTACTGTTTTAAGGGATGGAAAAACTGAAAAAAAATTCTTCGTAGATGTGTAGTAGGGGGAAGTCCCCTAACGCCGGACGGCACCTAGTGCCGGAGACTTCTAGTTCTTCAACAAATGACAAATCATCGGATTAAAAAATTGTCAAAAAAGTCGCGGAAGAACGTAATAATAAAGAATCAGAGTGCTCGGTTTGTCAATAACGCGAATGACCACGATGAGAGCACTAAATTGTTTTTTTAGCGAGAAGACGTTGTATCGTATAAATTTCAAAGTGCGATTACTACTATAGTTTTGTGCTTACGTGTTTATTTCAACTTGCATTAGAGAGGGTTTAACTATAATTCCAAGACTGTAAAAGTTTTTTTAAATTTCTTAACGGTGTTAGTATAAAATAACATAATTTTGAGGATTGCTTGTCCACTAGTACCGGACACAAGGAATTCCCCTAGTACCGGACAGTTAAAAAATTGGTTTTTGTAGGTAAACTCAGCCAATAAGTGAATAGTTAAGTCACTTTTGTTTTATTTGAATATATTAGACAGGAATATTCGTTGAACCAATTATACACTTAATGTGAATGTGTTTTTGGTAAGATGCACTGTAAAATTTATATAATAAATAAAAAAGGAAAAATTTTTTTTTTCTAAAGTTGGTGATTTTATTTTACAATATCTTCGGCAATAACACTTCATTTAATACAGCAAGAATACAGTCTTTGATGTCCGGTACTAGAGGGGACAATTTCAAAATTGTAGTATTTCGATACCAAAACTAAATTAAACTTAAAAAAAAGTTTATCAAAATATTCTAGTTTTGTTAATTGATTTTGGTGTTATATATTGCAGAGTTAATTAATTCATAAATAAAGTCATATTTTTTGAAGTAGTTTTAATTTTATTGCATGAAAACCTTAGGTGTCCGGTACTAGGGGACTTCCCCCTAAATCAACCAGTTGACTGATAATGTATTATATAAAATAAACAATCAACCATTACAAAATTAGTAGTGTAAAAACTTGAATTACTTGTGTTGGGAATTGTAATTCGCGCTCTTACGACATTTTTACTTAGAACTTTAATATTCAGATTCAGTGTGGCGCTTTAATCGCCTTTCTTTTACTTTCACCAAGAAGACTAGAGACAGGAGGACTAACTGCAGTAGTGGGGGTAGGACAAATATAGGGGGATTATGAAGGCGTGGTTAGATTGCGCCAAGTATCGTGTTTTGATTCTGCACTTACACTCACACACGCGTGTCACGTATTCAAATATATAATGTAAGAGTGTTGAGATGTGCAGAACCGAAAACAAGATATTTGGCGCAATCTAACTACGCCTTCAGAACCCCCCTAATACTGACTCACTGCTGTGAGTGAGAAAACAGCCGAGTTAGCCCTCCTGTCTCTAGTCTTCTTGACTTTCACTTAAAACACTCACACAATAAAAGAATCTTTCAATCAGTTCATTCATTCACTTCGTGTTTAATTACATTCCTTGTAATTTGTTAATTTGAATATACATTTAATAAATACTTTCTTTCGATAAATTCGTCTACACTCACTCGCACACCTTAACAGGTTATGGGCCCAGTGGACGAAATTGACAAATATCGGTAAAGTAATAAAAGTGTTTATGGTTCGCAAATCGCCATAGAGACACGCCGTGATCATTCGAATATTCTCGGTTGCATCCTCGCGTATATTTTTCGGTATCGTCTCTTTTTGTAACGAAAAGTGAACCGCAAGAATTGTTCGTGCAGTGCTACATCGGGTTTTCGGACATGTAATCATTCGCAACGATTTCTATTCATGAAAATAATCTCGCGATCTATTTTACGTGGAACGGGACATTAGCCGCCATCACGATTGTTCGCGTCGGTCACACACACACGCATACAAGTTTTCGAAAATGGCTCAAGCTCAAAATAATTCGTTTACCCCCATGCGAATCGAACTCCTTTCCAAGGATAATTATGAAACATGGAAGATTCAAGTAGAGGCCCTCTTAGTGAAAAGTGGATCCTGGGCATACGTCGCTGGTGACAAAGAAAAACCCGCCGTTACAGGAGAGGGAGACGCGCGGCAAGTCGCGCAACAAGCGCTCGAAAAATGGAATCTGGAAGATCGAATAGCAAAATCTGACTTGATTCTATCAATTAGTTCTTCTCAATTAAAACATATCAGAAATTGCGTAACATCGAACGAAGTGTGGACTAAACTCGAAACAATATACGCGTCTCAAGGTCCCACAAGAAAAGCCACCTTATTGGAACAATTGTTACTGCTCAAAATGCGTGAAAGTGACGATGTGCAAGACTTTCTATCGCGTTTTATGAGTATAGTGGACAATTTGCAACAAATGAAAGTGGACGTTAACGGTGAACTCTTGACAATCATGATGCTTCACAGCTTACCGGAAAGCTACAATAATTTCTGTTGTGCTATAAAGTCTCGCGATTTCTTGTCTAGTGTGGACAATTTAATGGCTAAAATAATCGAAGAGAATTTTGCTAGGGAGCGTAAAAGTAAAGATTCTAGTTGTGCTATGTACGTGAAACATCGACAATCAAATCCAAAAGGATCTTTCAAGAATAACACCGGAAGTGACAATCGAAATTCAAATTCCTACCAACGAAGTGATTTAAAGTGCGATTTTTGTGGAAAAACTAATCACAAGACAGCCAAGTGTTTCAAACGAAAAAGGTCCTTAAATCAAAAGGCAAATTCAGTCGAGGACGCGTTTTTAGTTCGCGAAATTCCAAGTGCTTCGTCATTTAATGTTGTGACAGGTGAAAAATGGTGCCTCGATAGCGGTTCGACATCACATATTTGCAAAGACCCTAAACTCTTTCTGAATTCTCGCGAAACCAATAGTGGAGTGAAATTAGCAAGTGACGCAGTCGCAAAAGTCACCGCCAAGGGTGAAGTGCGTATGACAGTTTCAAATGGAAAAGAGGATAAATCCTTCTTGTAACAAAATACTCTGTATGTGCCGTCTCTGCGTACAAATTTACTATCGGTCGCTAAAATTGTCGATAAGGGTTACAGTGTTGTCTTTGATCGGACGTGCGCGCAAATTAAAGATAAAAACGAAAATGTAAAATTACTCGCGAAACATCAAGGCGATTTATTTCTCGTGGACAGTGAGCCGAACATCGCAAGTGTTGTCGAAAACGCAAAAAGTGAAAGTGGCCGAACGTAAAAATCGGACCTTGATAGAATTGGCTCGGTGTATACTTGCGGAATCTGGACTGCCACAATCATTCTGGGGTGAAGCGGTATCGACTGGTTGTTATTTGCGGAATAGATGCATCACCAAACTTTTGAATATGAAAACTCCTTTCGAAATGTTGACAGGAAAACGTCCAGATGTCAGGCATCTTCGACGATTCGTCACCAAGGTCTATTTTCTGAACAATACTTCCAACAAAGATAAATTGAAACCAAAAGGAATCGAAGGAATTTTTGTCGGATACTCAACGACAGCGAAAGCGTACCGAGTTTGGGATTCAGCTGTAAAGAAGATACGAATAACTCGCGATCTACGATTTATGGACGAGTTCTCAACAATCAGTGTTCAAGAGGATTCAACATCCACACCGGATATAGAATTTCTCAATAATCAAAAGGCGAATTCGGATGTCGATCTTCGAATCAACAATGATCCCGTCAACGCGGAGCCAATCGAACAATTCATTCCTCTAGCTGAAAACATCGCAAAACGAGGACGTGGACGACCAACAATTATCAGAACCGGCAAACCTGGAAGACCTACAAAAGGATATCACACTCGGCGTGAAGATGATCGCCCCGAATCACCGGAACCCCGTGAACCTGACGTCAGCAACGAATCAAGCGACGAAGAATTTCACGGTTGGGACTCGGACAACGACGCCTGACTGCCTGTGAAATTTCGATACAAGACGCTCTGTCAGGTCCAGATAGCCAGGATTGGGAGGATTCAATATACCAAGAAATTAAGAGTCTGATCTCAAACAAAACTTTCGACTTGGTTGATCGACCAACAAACGAAAAGGTCATAAAATGTCGAACTGTGCTGCGAAATAAGCTTGGATGGAACAGCCGGATTTACTCGAGAAAATGCTGAAGAGGATGACCGCGGAAAACTCGAATCCAGAAATTTCAAAGACAGCCAAAGTCTTTCTCGACAAATTGGATGAATCACCGAAAGTGTGCAAACTCAACAGGGCTATTTACGGTCTTCGACAAGCAGGACGTCAGTGGTATACGAAGCTGGACGCCATTCTCCGGAACATCGGTTTTGTGCCAACTTCTTCGGATCCGTGCGTGTACGTCGATAAAGACACTCTGACTTTTCTCGTCGTCTACGTCGACGATATCTTGCTATTTTCGAACGATCGAACCAGGGAGAGAAAAATAATACAAAAACTCTCTGAAGAATTCAAGGTAAAAGATCTCGGCGAAGCTCGATACTTTTTAGGCCTGGAAGTGCAACGAAATCAAAAGAACATCACCCTATCTCAAGCTGGATATATAAAAGAGATCTTGAAAAGATTCGGGATGAGTGACTGCAAGCCGGTCAGCACACCACTCACAGTAGGCGCAAAATTCGTCAACGATGCCAACGACGACGCAGAATCACAGACGTTTCCATTTCGAGAGCTAGTTGGAGCTCTAATGTATGCAGCCTTGGGAACTCGACCGGATATCATGCACACCGTCAGCGTACTCGCTCAGTACAGCAGCAACCCGAGAAGGGAACACTGGACAGCAGCAAAACGCGTGTTACGCTATCTCCAGGGAACAATCGATTTAGCTCTAAAATTCGAAGGGAATGATGATCATCTGACCTGCTGCGTGGATGCCGATTGGGCAAATTGCAACCTCGACAGACGATCATTTACAGGTTCTACCTTCGTCTTCAACGGAGCCGCCGTGTCCTGGGAATCTCGCAAACAGCGCACTGTTGCGCTCTCATCCACCGAGGCGGAATACATGGCGATCAGCGACGCGACAAAGGAAGCCATGCATCTCATCAGCTTCCTCAATGATTTGGGATTTCCTGATATTGCTCGTGTAAATATCTATAACGACAACCAGGGAGCTGGAAAGCTTGCGGAGAATCCTGTTCACCACTCACGTTCCAAACACATAGACGTGAGACATCACTTTATACGACAAGCGCTGAAGGAAAAACCCATCGAATTGCACTGCCTTCCTACAGAACGAATGATTGCCGATGTGCTCACAAAAAGTTTACCCGGACCAAGACACATGGAGTGCATATCTGGATTTGGACTATCGTCAAGAAAATTGCTCCAGAGTGCATCTTAAGGGAGAGTGTTGGAAATTGTAATTCGCGCTCTTACGACATTTTTACTCAGAACTTTAATATTCAGATTCAGTGTGGCGCTTTAATCGCCTTTCTTTTACTTTCACTTAAAACACTCACACAATAAAAGAATCTTTCAATCAGTTCATTCATTCACTTCGTGTTTAATTACATTCCTTGTAATTTGTTAATTTGAATATACATTTAATAAATACTTTCTTTCGATAAATTCGTCTACACTCACTCGCACACCCTAACAACTTGAACAAATTTTAATAAATTTTCATTCAACTTGGTAAAAAGAAGTTTTTTTTTATTTTGCTGAATAAAAATCTAAAATCGAATTTTTAAATTTCAAAATGGTAGATCCAATATGGCGGTCAAACATAAAATATTGTTAAAAATTGATCAAATTTGCTTGAATCTGGCTACTCGGGGGTTTTTAAGGTCGCTGAATACGAATTTGAAGTCAAATTTTAAATTTTCAAAATGGCGGATGAATCTAAAAATATTTTTAAAAATTGATCAAATTTTCAAAAAAAAAATTTTTTTTATCAAATTTTTTTTTTCAAAGAGGATCTAATTTCCTTTACTATGTAATTTTACATTGTCAAATTAATGAAATTGTGAAATAGAAGCAAATTTATTCAATTATTTTCTTTTAAAATGTAGTTCAAGTTCTGTTTACATTTACCCCGAGTTTTCGAATTCTCGGGGTAAATGTAAACACTTAAATATTTATTAACTAAATTGACGAAAATCAAAAATCAAAGTCATTTTTTGTTAGGGCATTAATAATGAAGAATTACATATTTTTGTTTGATTTTTTAATTTATTTTTATGCAAATGCGAGTCAAAATACTGAAACAGTAAAATTTTGATATTCAATCTTTTTTGCATTAAAAGATAACTTACACTATGGCATTGCCAATTGTCAAAATAAAATGTTGGCAATACTCAGAACATCTTGTAGGTGAGCTGAGGTAAAAATATTGACGTCGTACTTATTTTTAAATTTGTAAATTTAGCTGAAACATCTACTGTTTACATTTACCCCTTGTTTACATTTACCCTAAATGAGCCTATATATATTTCAATTAATCCATTTTTTTAAATATACATAAGTATATATACGTAAATATATATTAATAAAACATGGAATTCAGAATTTTTAAAGATTTTTCTGGGACAAATTTCGTTATTTTCCTTTGAAAGATTCGGGAGGCCAAAAAAAAGTTCGGATAAAATGATTTTCGGTTCGGATGACAGAGGTTCGGATAATCGAGGTTCCACTGTACTTTAAAAAATAATTGAATTCTTATGATGAATATTGTTATTTATGGAAATAATTAAATTTTGCAAAGAATTTTTTTAAAATGTCTCAAAATAATTGAATTTTTGGGAATAATTTTGTCGGCATAATTGAATTCTTTCGAAGAATAATAATTCTTAAATAATTTAATTCTTGGGAAGAATT